AAATAACCCCTACAGCAACGGAAAATGAGCAGGGTCTTTATTTCTGTGATCGGTGTGAGAAAACATTTTCCAAACACAGTTCCCTCACGAGACACAAGTATGAACATTCCGGTAAGTCTACTGTTACTGTAATGTTGTCGTGCAAACTTCCACAATTTTGTGCAATAAGAGCAATTGTTCAAAATAGAAATCTAAATCAGAATATTTATTTAATCGTACAGAACGAGAATTATGGCGCTGGAATGGTGTTAAATATTGAGAAAAGATATACAATGAGATATAATAAATCTTACTTAAATAAAAGCTATAAAATCTAAGAAATAATCCTTTCCTTTTTTCTAAAGGTTAATAAAACGGAAATACTTTTTTTTTACAGAAATAATTTTTTACAGCGTTTTTTATAAATATAATTTAAAGTACAAGTAAAATATCCAAACAAAATATCTCATGATTAAGATTTAATTTAAAATAGAAAGAAGAAGAAATATAAAAAAATTAGTCGAAGGAAATAAGATTTTATTAGAATGATTTTGAAAAACAGAATTATCAATATTATCACATCATTTTTATTCAATAAAAAATCAAGCAATTTTAATACAGTGTAAAATCTTTTGTTGTTTTTACTATACTCTCTGTCATATTGTCATCGAGCGAATGCAAACAAAACGATTGGTAAATATTTCAGGGCAAAGGCCGTACAAATGCGTGGAGTGTCCAAGAGCGTTCAAGCACAAGCATCATCTGACTGAACATAAACGGCTGCACAGCGGCGAAAAGCCCTTCCAGTGCTCCAAGTGCCTCAAGCGCTTTTCCCACTCCGGCTCCTATAGCCAACATATGAATCATCGTTATTCTTACTGCAAGCCCTACAGAGAATAGGAGTACTTCGCCTACTCATCCGAGGCTCGATCGCTTACCTAGATTAGATTTTTTTTCTCCATGGACTTATATAGATAGACTGCACGCTTCCATAGGAAGTATGAAACATTAATAAGAAAGACAACAGAAACTTTGTCAGATATCTTGTCCAGTTGGTGGAAAGAAGGAAAAAGAAAAAGCGATCATTTTTTTTTATCTTAAAAAAATGCTCATTATTTTCTTTTTTCTCTCTCTTCAACTCTTATATTTCCCTATATTCTCCCTTCAGCATTGTGCGACAGAGAGAACATTTGATCACGTATATCTCTGTCCTTCAATGTCATCGCCTGCTGTCGCATATAAATATGCAGTCTCCCAGATAGCCAAATCTATCGAAAACAGACTTTATTACGTCTCCATAATGCCAGCAAAAATATAACAGAATCTTCTAACGGCAGGATAGCAGAATGACTGCGGAAACCGAACAAAATCTGCTATTTTATAACCATTTAAATAATATATTCTATTCAAATTGTTAAAGAGAGAAACGCGAGACATATAAGAATGGTTAATTTGTAGTCAGTGAGTCTCGTCTTCAAACCTCAATTCTCTATGCTGTTTATAAGATACTGTTTAGAAAATGACAAGTTAAAGATTGTGAATGAATTAAGAAGTATGAAATGAGTAGTAATCCGTTCTTTACTACTTTTATTTATATAGCAGATATTTATTTGGTATCTACTAGCGATTTGCTGTCATATTATGTCGGTTCTACTGGTAGAACATGAGTTTAATGTGGACGCAATCAATCTGTCGCAGATTCTACTTGAATCTGAATAAATTACTAGAATATTGCTCACATTTTGCTTTCTGGGTTATCTATATAGGTCTACGCTTTCTCTTTATATTTAGAATTTCACTCTTTTACGTATGAGTTTGTTTACGTCTTTTACGTATGAGTTTTTCGAGAATCCCATTTCATGAGAAAACGCTAGAACGCCTTTATACTCTCTCGCGGCATAAACTTTAAGAGTCGCCGCGATGTTTCGTGAAGCTATAAGTATAATATATACCTAAGATGCTGTGCGACATCACATTATAAAGCCATGGCGTTATTGCTCGTCGGTTCGTACTTCGGAAAAAAAAGAAAAATATAAAAAATGGTTTAGGTGATACAAAATTGGGAATATTAAATGGTCGTATGTTAGATCTCGCAATTGAGATAAGAGATATTCATATTATCTCATCTTGTATCGTCTAAAAAAACTGGCTTTAGAGATTTTACTAATTTTATTTTAGGATTTGAAAGATAAAAAGATATACCGGTGAATATAAACCGAAAAGAAAACTACTCGCGGCAAACGCGTTGACAAATAAACCAAACGCATGTAACGGTACCAAAAAGCATAATGCAATAATCTATTATATATATAATATAATATACATAATATTTTAGTATTTTTATTAACAAAATATTATATATACCATGACAATAATAAGGAAACTAATTAATGTACAAATTTGTTAGCTACGTCCGCATATGGAGCGCGATATCCATTCGCAAAACTAATCTATTGATATACGAGCTAGATTCGATAGTAAAGAATGTTTTTAAACAATTAATCTCTGCGAAACGACGTGTCATGTGTCTATGATAAATGATTTCCAAGACTTAGGTTTCAATAAATTCGAATATAAGAATGGAAATCGCGCATAGTGTATAACGAGTGCTCGTTCTACGCGAGTAAATATGGATATATTGAGTTTACCGAATCAAATATGTCTGGGATACAGCTGTTAATTGAGCTTAACATTAAGAAATTTCGTCGATCGTAAAAAAAAACGGAGATTAGTATCTCTTGTTCCACTTTCTTACAATGAATAACTTCATTCGAAGAAAACAGGCTATATTATTATTATTATATATTATTATTATTATTATACATTATTATATATGTATAGAACGCGAAAGGGAAAGAGAAGAAGCGAAACAGGCGAGTGGGATTTAAGGGCCATGCGGGTCGGTGATCGATGTCATGCGAGTTCTTTCTTTTTTTTTTTTTACTTATTGTACTTACAAGGTGGCAAGTTGACGACGCGTTATTCTTGCATAACGTGATTACTATTCGAGATCAGAAATACGTATTACATCGTGAAATGCGCTACACATTCCGCGAGGATCCATTTCTCAGGGCCTCCTAATTTTATTTATCGCTTTTTTACACCCTCTTGCAACGAATAGCACCGCGTGGCACCTTTCATCAGAACCCTGACCTCGCTCTTGCCGGACAGCACAAGCAATCTGTCGAAACGTGCGACACGTACGTTTTGCATGGCAGAGATTAGTAGTTTGGAAATTAGATTTTGATGTAACGCAAATAATACAAAAAAAAAAAATTTGAGAAAGAACGTGTCCAAGAGACGTCTAAAGGAAGACCCGTTCGACCGGAAACGTTCGGCCGTCTCTTTGCGCCTTTTGTACGTTCGTGTCGTATGAAAAAAAAAGGTGCGACGCGAAATACACGAAACGTGCACCGAAACCTCGCAATAATCTCTTCACCGAAATCCGAGGCCCGAAAATAAACCGTAACACCTAAGTATGATATTAAATGCTTCCAATATTGTACTATTAAAATTATTATATTACGACGTTTATATGATTTTATTCGTTCGGACGCGCGTAGAGAGATAAGGACGTATATTATATATATATACATATATATATATATACATACTCTACAGATTGATAATACTCGAGAATGTATTTTATAACAGTTTATGCGTTCTTTTTATTTACACGAGTACTACAAGTGATAAGTGATATTGTTATTGAATAAAAGAAAAAAAAAAGGAAATAACGGAAAGAAAGATGAGATACAGATATTACCGTATTATTGTAAATTTTGTGCCAGCGTGTGTGTTCGTGTGCTGTGCTGTGCTGTGCTGTGCTGGTGGTGTGTGTGTGTGTGTGTGTGTGTGTGTGTGTGTGTGTGTGTGTGTGTGTG